ACATTTATTATATATAAATCAGGGCACTGTGATCTGGTAGCAGCTAATTTAATAAATCTCTGAGTGTGTCGATATCTTGCATGGCTCCAGCTTGAAATGCAAAGATCAACTTTTCTCCCCTGACTTGGTCAAGGTCAATAATGCAATCAATATACTAGTCGCTCACACTACGTAGATGGAATTGTTAAGGTGCTGAACCAATTATGAAAAAAAAAATTTGATACTAAAAGTTTAGTATAATTGATTTACAAAATCCACATGGCAGTCCAAAATAATCAAATTTTCAGAATATGTATCAATAGAGATTCTATGTATCTTCTCTATCCATATTTTCTACATCATTTTTTCTGAAATAGTGAATAAGATGCCAGCAGTGAGAGTAAAATAGCACCAGATATTCAGTAAGCTGAAGAGATCAAAATATGTCTACATCTGAAAATCTGTCTGACATACTCTCATACTTAGGCACATGTAGTGTCAGTAACTACAGTAGATGTGAACCTCAGCTCAGGATGTGGTGAGCGTGTGAGCTGGGGAGAGGGTAGTGGTAGGTTGGGCAGGATGGAAAATGCTCACTTTTGCCAGTTGACAACTGAGGCTCATTGTCCTCTAGATTGAGAATAAAAGATGACTTATTCTACTAAATAAGCAAAGGAATCTGTCCTTTTGTTTGTTGACTTGACATTTTTCACTGCCTATTGAACAAAATTTATATTCCCATATTCAATATGATCTCTACATAGAATTTCCAGGAAGTCAAGTATAATAACTCTAAATTAGAAGTCAGAAGAATTGGATTCATATCCTAACTTTTTTTCTTAAAATACCATACGAGCTGGGGCAAGAAATATAACCTCACAATCTTAGTTCCTTCATCCGTAAAATGAATAGCTTAGATTAAACGAATTTCAAGGACCCCACCAGCTCTAAAATTCTCTGAATCACTAAGCAAGATAAAGCAATGAACTAATTTAATTATGGTCTTTTAGCATAACTAGGCTGCTATAATCAGAAGGGCTCTCCTGAAACACATTATTTTTCTCCACTTCTGGCTTGAATATATTATGTTTTCTATCATAATGGTATAATGGATAGACCAGAATGCCTTCAGTCAAGTAGATGCAAATTCCCCACAGCATACAGTCCTCTTGATTAAAATAACAGCTTATTACGGATGGAGTAGCTCCAAAACACAATAATGCTCTTCAGGTAGCAGGTGTTCCTGTATTTTTTCAAATGACTAACTGAAAAGATGCAAAGGTGTTTTGTTTCTTGATGAATAAACAGAAGTATACCCATGACAACAAAATGTCAGACACAGGTAAATTAAAATATTCTCCTCAAATTCTTTATAGTGTATTAAAATCTACATATTATCCATCATTAATTAACCCCATAAGAAAACAAGTGAGTAGAAATATGAATAAAATTAAATATATTTATAAAAACAAGTTAACTTTTATGTTGTAGAACTCTTACTCTACTCCTGGGCATGTACTTTTTTTATTTAAATCTTAGATGATCTGAAAAGCAATATATTTAAATTTGATGAGAATGTATCAAATTTAAATAAGTTAAAAGGTAGGTTAAAATAATCAATGTTATCAAGAATAAGAGTACTATTAAAAATGAATTATTACTAAATTCAGAAAAAGATATGGCCCATGGATTTTAATTTAGATTATCAACATCCAATCTTCCTCCATAGAAAGAAAACAGATTGTATGGTATAACATTCTAATCTTGATATTTATAATCCCTGAGTTCAACTCTTAGCTCATCTAGTAACTTATAACCTTGGACTTACTACTTAGCCTATCTGAGTCTTCAGTGAGGAAGGCAGTGCAGAGATCACCAGTTCCCATGGAAATCCCATTCTCAAAGTGGCTTGGCTCAAGCAGTGAGTGTTAGGTAACACTCCTTCTACTTGACAAACTCTATGATCTCACAATAAAACTAGCTGTATTTTTTAAAGTTGTTATTGCTCTTGAAAAATTTTAGCCACTTCATTTTATCGTGGTTATTTTTTTACATTAATAACCAAAGCAAACTTCAAAGGAAAGAAAAATATTAAGGTTAATTTCTCAACAAAATACTTCTTCTATCTTCTTGTAATTCACGTATCACTTTAATACCCAAAGGTTACATTTGTTTCAATTACACCTGTTTAAAGTAGTTCTCATATCACTAAAAGCAAGAAACATAGAAGTAATATATACATTATGTAAAAGAATACTGCTCTTTACTAAATATTCCCTAAAGCAATAGATTTTCTTTGTTGGGATTTCCCTGAATTAACTCCTTTATGAAAGGAGTAGTTTGACAATTACATATATCCATTTTAAGAACTATTATTCATTTTGTTTTCCTAAAAAATAAAATGATTCTATGCAGTGAATTTGAATCTCAGTAAAATAAAATCTCCATCTCATTAGGAGAGTAAAACATGCACTATTATCAGTGAGGGACACTTGGGGATGGTGAGGGATGAACAAATAAATTTTGGATGTAAATATACCTGAATTCCAACCCCCAGTCTGTTACTGACTGGCTAGGTAGCCAGGGGATGGTTATGTTATATCTATGAGACTCCTTTGTTCCCTGCTGTAGTAAAATTGGGGCTCACATTTAACTCAGAGGGTTGTGCCAAGAATGACATGAAATATGTGTTGATGTTCAACAAATGGTATGTGGTTGTTTTTCAATAAATGTATCTATTATTGTGTGTTATTGTGGTTGTGCTCTGCAATCAATACTACCCTTTAAACTATATTATTATTAAACTAGAGGCCCAGTACATGAATTCATGAACAATTGGAGTTCCTCCTGGCCGATTGGGGCCATCTCACCCAGTTCTGATCGGGGTTGATCAAGGCTGGCTGGCCGGCTGCGGGGAGGGACGGCAGGAGGTTGGCCGGCCATGGAAGGTTGGCTGTGGGAGCGCACTGACCACTAGGGGGCAGCTCCTGTGCTGAGTGTCTGCCCCCTGGTGGTCAGTGCGCATCATAGCTACCGGCCGGTCATCGGTCGTCTAGTTGTAAAGGTTGCTTAGGCTTTTACATATATAGATTATTGTTCAATAGTAATGTGACTTGCATCTGATTGCATGTGTGTATTTCAGATTTGATTAAAAATTCTCAGATATGACCCAAATGTTGTGCATATAATGCCGAACAGCCATTCCTTTGTCCCTAACAAGGATTGTCCTGAGCTTGGCAGTGGCTCTAGGAGGGCACCAGTCTTCCTGCAGTGCCTTCACCCATCAGCCCCTTCTCTGAATAGCTGGGACGGGCACATAGAGACTAAACCCTCAAGGCCTTGCTCTCAGGATTTTATAGTCTCTCTGTTGAAACAGAATAAATATAAATGAATAGCCAGGGAGCAGGAAGAACTTCTATAACTCTGAGGGACACTCAGTTTAAAAGATGGGAAGAAAAGAGAAAAAAATGAAAGCAGATTCCCTGCCGCTCTTGTTTACCAACTGGCTGGGGTGCTTTCAGACTAATGAGCAGGGTGCAGTCCAGCCTGGTTCTGCAGAGAGAAGCCTAAGGAGATCTTTGTAATGATGACCAAAACTATGTATCATATTAACTAGCAAAATAAAATGATTACCCTAAAACTCATGAAAGAATCAATACATTCTATATACTTTTTCTCTCCTTTGTAATTAATGTCACTAAATGAGAACAGACATATATTTTTAAATAAGTGTTTTTAATATGTTAGGTAGTCAGTTTTTTAAAATGTTGTTAAATGTCTATGGGTATGTAGGAGTTCAACATGACTCATTAGGAAGATGTATCTCCAAATAGTTTAATTGTACATTTTATAGTAATATAAAGTGTGTGTCTATACTATAAGAGACCTGAAATGCAAACATGAGTGGAAAAAATAATTAAAGCAGAGTCTGCAGAGCTGAACCAATCCCTCCGCATGGTACACATCACATAAGTATCACATTCAACAGATACTAGAAAAACACCCCTGTGAGAACTGCAAGCATTATATGTTAGTAAGTTTTCCAATTTAAATATAAGCATAAATCACTGCAGTATTTGCTGCATGTATTCTATTAGGCTGGCTTTCCTGCATTATTAGAGCGGAGCCCTAAATTACAAAGTTAGCTCAGGTTTCAGATAAAACATGGACTTTGCAGACAGGTGAGCCCGGTTTCCCGGTCAGGCATTTCCAGGAGGGTCAGGGCACTTCACCAAAGCTCCTGGGCAATGAAGCAGCAGTAGCCTCAAGAGCATGATTTTAAAGTCAGCTTTCTTAAAATTCTAGCTAGATTCTTGAAATGAACAACACACACACACACACACACACACACACACACACACACACACCCCTCCTTTTTGCTGCTGTTTGAACTTGCCAAAGAGTAAGGTATATGAACCAAGTCTCATTAATATTAATATATACTTTGTTATTTTGCTCTCTGAACACTATCACATTATTATACTAAATTAAAGCCCTGACAGAAACATCCAATTAATCCTCAGGAGTAAAATGCATTATTGTGTCGTAGTTAATAAGCAGTTCAAAGTAATCATACCTTGATCACTCTCCTGAGCAGTGCAGTTCTTTGCACCGTGTGCTTAGAAACCAGAATATCTAATATCAGTTCCTTTAATGATCACTCACATATGAGTTAAAAAGGATAGTCACTCTCCTTTCAGATGTACAAATACTCTACTTTCTTTTACTAAGAAAGATAGGGGTGGAAATATCTAAGTAGAAAAAAAAAAACTTACCTGTCTTAGGTTGATAACATAAAAAGTGTCTCTGGGATTCAATCATAATCATAGGGGATGATGTTGAGCTCAAAGCTGGGGTGTAGGCCCAGCTTACTGAACTCCATAGACCATTTGAACCACAGTAGCAGCTAAAGGAGGCTTTCTCTGGCCCTGTTAGCAGAGTTGTAATTAAAACCTTTTTGGCCCTGTGCTATTTGTAGGAAACGTCACTAAATTCAGAAGCATCATGGGCAAAGATCCTACCTTAATGAGAATCTGAATGGACCCTGTGGCTTTTGCAGATATGAAATACCAGAAGCTCATGGTGCATGCAGCACTGGATTCTTGCCACACACCACTCTTGAGGTGCGCTTCTTCACCCCGAAGGCCCACCGGAGTAGCCTCCAGATACAAAAAGTGCCCTAGGAACAAAGACAGGAATCAGACAGGATAAAATAGCAATGAGGGAATTATTTTAGCTTTTCCATCTTTGAGTTATTTATAAATTAAAATATACTTGACATGAATGGCCAATAGACACATAAAAAGAGGCTCATCACAAATTATCAGGGAAATGCAAATCAAACCATAATGAGATATCACCTCACACCTATCAGAGTGGCTATTATGAAAAAGATAAGAGATAACAAGAGTTGGTGAGGATTTTGGAGAAAAGAAAACCCTCATAAACTGTTGGTGGAAATGTAAATTGGTGCAGCCACTATGGAAAACAGTATGGAAGTTCCTCAAAAAATTAAAAATTGAGCTACCATATAATCCTGGGTGTTTATCTAAAGAAAATGAAAATAGTAATTCAAAAAGATAAATGCACCCCTATGCTTATTGCAGTATTATTGACAATAGCCAAGATATGGAAGCAACCTAGGTGTCCATAGATGGATGAATGGTTAGAGTTTTTAATTATATTTCATATGATCTGAGCTGCCAAACAAAAGGGAAATCTAAGAGGCTTGCCTCTAACTCACTGACAGAACAATTTCCAACTGTATGCTTTTATTTATTTATTTATTTATTTATTTTTAAAATATATTTTATTGATTTTTTACAGAGAAGAAGGGAGAGGGATAGAGAGTTAGAAACATCAATGAGAGAGATCGATCAGCTGCCTCCTGCACGCCCCCGAGTAGGGATGTGCCCGCAACCAAGGTACATGCCCTTGACCGGAATCGAACCCGGGACCCTTCAGTCCGCAGGCCGATGCTCTATCCACTGAGCCAAACCGGTTCGGCTCCAACTGTATGCTTTTAGAAAAGTATTTTACTGTATGCAGATTAACTCATCTGACAAGAAATTTACGTTGTTGCATCAACAAGATAGCTATAGAAATCATTTAATGAACCCCAAAAAAACTTACCTATCTTAGACAGATTGATAACATAAAAAGTGTCTCTGGGATTCAATCATAATCATAGGGGATGATGTTGAGCTCAAAGCTGGTGTGTAAGCCCAGCTTACTGAACTCCATACACCATTTGAACCACAGTAGCAGCTAAAGGAGATTTTCTCTGGCCCTGTTAGCAGAATTGTAATTAAAAAACTATCCAGTTATTGAAAAACAATGAAAAAATTACCTATGAGATATAAATAAAGGAACTTTCAAAAATGCAGTCTCCAGTAGAGTACATAAATGAAACACTGAGAATTTTAATAGGCAACACAACAGGAAAAAATGTTGAGTTTTATATTTGTGTATCCAAATATCCCAAACATTGTATGTATGTAGAGCTCAGTGTTTGGGTGGAACTTAGACCTTCCATTTTCTGGTTTGGTCAGGCTGTCTTGGAAAGCTTTGTTTTTTCATAGGCCTGTGGAATTTCAATGTTTAGACTTTTTTTTCTACTCTGTAGCACCCAGGAATTCAGGGCCCCTTCTTGCTAATGTCCTATATCCTTTCACCAGTATATCTGAGACTTGCCTTCAGCTCTTCATTGTAAAAATGACAATCCCCAACACCTTTAACATATGAATCTTATAGTGACGTCTGCACAACACCTCTACAACTTTCACTCTGCTTTCCCTGCATGCACTTCACCTCATTTGATCTGTACAACCCATTTGGCACACAGGGCTAATTGTAATATCACCCTTTGGGAGATGAGGATTTTGAGAATCTGAACAGATGAAATGAGTGGCAGAATTCAGAGTGTGTCCTTTAGGAAATCTACCTTATGGCAGCATACATTATCATCTATCTACACTTATCAACATGAGATTAGATTTCGAATACTCACTGTTATGGGTGAATTGTGTTCCCTAACAGATTTTGAAGTCCTATCTGCAGTATCTATAAATGTGATCATATTTGGAAATAGGGTCTTGTCAATGATCAGGTTAAAATAAGGTCATTAGAGTGGACCATGATTCACTATGTCTGTTTCCTAAAAAAGGGAGGAGGAAATTTGAACACAGAGGCAGATATGCATGGAGGGAATATGATGTGAAGACACAAGGAGAATAGCTTCTGCAAGCCAAGAACTGTGAGGTTACCATAGGTTGGGAGAGAGGAATGGAACAGATACTTCTCCCTTAGGGGCTCTCAAATCCAGTCCCGCTGACACCTGGTTTCAGAATTTTAGCCTCCCAAACTGAGAGAATAAATGTTTGTTGTGTATACTAATGTTTGCTATTTATACTATCCACTTGGTGGCACTGGGTTATGGTAGTCCTTGGAGACAAATACACTCATTAAATATTTGACTTACTTGCTGTGGCACCATGGTGGTCTCTCCAGAGCACTCCAGTTGCTGTCGGGGAAGATAAAGTGATGCTCATTGTGAATATGATTAGAGTGACTATACCAACCTAACAACCTACCATTTTCATTTCCAAGTGTGTGGTCTTTGGGGGGTCTTAGGCTTTGATGAGAGCCAACTCCCAAAACCCAGTCAAAGTTTTCAGCCAGGGAGTTTTGCCAGCCACACCAGCCTTGTTCAAAAGTACAGGAGCTCCCACATTCATTTTCATCAGTGGAATCTCCACAGTCATCTACAAAATTACAGCTTTGCTCTGGTTTATAACATTGGCCATTCTGACATTCCCGATAGCCATGTGGGCAGTAACCTAAAACACAGAAAACAAAAGAAAACAAAAAAATTATGAAGAAGTTAAAAGGTAGTAAAGGTGGATTCACTTTAATATATAAAGAAATATGGTGTTCTTAGGAGTTTGAGTTATCTGACCCCTATCTCTCTGTCCTTAATTCTCCCCAGGGTCCCGGCCTATAGATCACTCACAAGGATCATTCAAAATGAAAAAGAAAAAAAAGAAATATAATTTTATTGATCTAGAAAAGTACCTCAAGTCTTCTCAAATACAGCATTTCTTATAAGCAATATTTGAGGATGTATATTACATCTACTAGTAAAAGCCAAAGTGAGCTTCCCATTTTTTAAGCTGAAACAAAATCTTTAGGGTTCTAAGAGGTTATATATTACTAGAAGCCCGTTGCACGAAGATTGATGCAATAGGCCTTCCTTCCCCTGGCTGCTGGCACCGGTTGGTTTTTCTCCAGCACCCAGGACCCAGGCCTTTGGTCCAGCCACAGCAGAGAAGCCAAGCCTCTTCAGTCTTCAGTCTTCAGTCTTCACTCCGGCTGGAGCCTTCAGTCTTTGCTCCGCGCCTGTGTATGTAAATTAACTGCCAACTTTGTTGGGTTAATTTGCATACTCACTCTGATTGGCTGGTGGGTGTAGCGGAGTGACACCAATTTGCATGTTTCTCTTTTATTAGTGTAGATGGCGCATTTGGAAGTACATTCCATTAGTATCTATGCACTCCAACATTTATCAGAAGCCAAGCATATATATGATAATTCCTTCAAGCAGGGGCAAGAATATAAAGGTAATACCAAACTATCCAATAGCTTTTTCTCCACAATGCATATTTATCTGCCAATTGTTTGGAATTTTAGAAGTAACTTCCCTGTAAAGCAAGGTCATCCATAAAGATTTTTTTCATAAAGCTTAAGATTAAGAGCAATACTTTTGAAGATCTGAGTTTGAACTATGACTCTGACACTTATCATTTATGTGATTTGATGAGCTTTTAGTTTTCCTATTTAAAAAGAGAAAAAAATAATAATAAATGTAGATAAGTTAAACTAATTAAAAAACCTACTGTTTATGTCACTAGCATCTAGAACAGTGCCTGGCCCTTATTAGGTGATCAGCAAATATAAGTCAAATAAATGAATAAGTAAAATAAAGTGCTTTAGAAATTATAAAGCAATTCAGTATGCTCATTGAAGGTATTATTATTATCCTGCTCCAATATTACAATAGAACAATTGATAACAATATTTCAGTAGGAAAGTTGCTTGGAGATCCAACTTGGGACATTCGCTTCACATTTGCTCTGTGATGCTGTAGTAGCAGAAATTTTCTTTCTGTCCATCTTTTCCATCTTCCTGGTAGAGGAACTGATAATTCCACACCTAGATGATAATTTCCATGGCCTGAGGCAAGTTGCCTGGTGGTGAGGACTGTGTGGGTAAGAGCTAGAAGGTGATTGAGAGATTTGTCCAAAGGTGTTTATTAGCAGGAAACTCTTGCTAATAAAATCTTATCTACCAAAAAACAAACAAACAACCCAATTAAAAATGGGCATAGGTCATAAATTGACAGTTCCACAAACAACAAACAACAAAAAGAATTGGTGAGGATATGGAGAAAAGGGAATCCTCATGCACTGTTGGTGGGAATGCAGACTGGTACAGTCAATGTGAAAAGCAGTGTGGAGATTCCTCAAAAAATTAAAAATGGAACTACCTTATGACCCTGAGATTCCACTTCTGGGGATATATCCAAAGAAACATGATATACTAATTCAAAAGAATATATGTACCCCTATGTTCACTACAGCATTATTTACAATAAGCAAGCAAGATTTGGAAGCAGCCAAGTGTCCATCAATAGATGAGTGAATAAAAAAGCTGTGGTACAGTTTACACAATAGAATACTACTCATCTGTACCAAAAAAACAAAACAAAAAGGAAATCTTACCCTTTGCAACGGCATGGTTAGCCCTGGAGAGTATTATGCTGAATGAAATAAGTCAGAGAAAGACAAGTACTAATGTACAAAACAAACTAACAAACAAAAATAGAAGCAGACTCATAGATACAGAGAGCAGAATGACAGCTGTCAGAGCGGGGTGGTTGCAGGGCCAGGTTGAAAAGTTGAAGGGATTAAGCAAAAAACAAAAACAAAACACACACACACACATACTAGTTCACACACACAACAAACCAACCTCATAGACACAGACAATAACATTGTGATTACCAGAGGGGAAGGAGGTGGGAGGAGGTAGAAAAGGGTAAAGGGGGAATAAATGGTGATGGAAGGAGATTTGACTTGGGGTGGTGAACACACAATACATTATACAGTTGATGTATTCTAGAATTGTACATGCTGAAACCTATATAATTGTATCAACCAATGTCACCGTAATTAATTCAATAAAAAATAAAAATAATGAAATAATAAAATAAAATCTTATCTAGAAGCATTTAGTCCTGAATGAGTCTCACATTTAAGAAAAGCGATGAGTAAGAGGCAAGAAGTGGGAGGAGATGACTAGAATGCCATGTAGAAACCACTGGGGAGGAGACTGGTGTTCTGAAGGCTGCTAGCCATTTTGCACACTAATTGCTCCTGAACTGCGTGTTGCAGATTGCCTCATTAAATGGCCTTTACAATTGCAAAGCCTTTGGACATAAGTTTCAACTGTGCATTATGCCCCTAACAAAACTTTCTTTTTTGGGTTAACTGCTAATATTTCATTTCCTTGCAGTGTGGGTTTAAATGATTTTCACTTACATGCCCAGGTCAGTTTTATCAGATTAGGGGTAAGACAAAAGACTTCTAATGTTTGAATTACAGAGCTTGATTCTAAATCATAACCTTAAAGCATTGTTTGAGCTACATAGAAATGGAGATCATTTACATTAATCCTCACATTTATTTATAGATGAGAAAACTGAGGATTATAGACATTAAATGACTTGCTGATTTTTCAAGAGCAGAGATGCAATTTGAACCCAGGTCTAATGTCTAAAAAATTATTTTTTAAATCCATTGACTTGAAGAGAAAAGTAGTGATATCAGATCAACTATCATAACACATGAGATCACCCAGGAACAAAAGTGGTGGCACTGACTACCAGATGCATTATTTTCTCATGGGACTACGGAAAACCTGAGAAATTACTAGATCGTTTCATTTTATTCAAGTTGGCATTGGTATTGATTCTGTCAATTCCAATTTGCTTGGGGAGTAAAAAACAAACTGCTCCTGAAAATACTTTCCTCCAAAGTGACTAAACCAAGCTAAAATCAAATTCTTTTAAAGCAAATAAAATAATTTAGACATCTTTCTAATTGGGAACACACTACAGATTGCAATCTATACATATAAAGAGGTAATATGCTAACTGTCCGCTACAGTGTCCCAGTAATGACCAATTTGCATATTGATAGACCAGCAGGTGCGTTCGCAGCAGAGGGACTTGTGTGAGGCTCATTTTCCTGCCCCCAGCACCGGAGTCCTCTTTTTCTCCCAGGTGCACATGCCCGACAAACACCCCCGTGACAATGCGCCCCATCTGAGAGCACTCTGCCTGGGGACACCACCAACCTCCCCATGAGGTGGGGGGAGCCAAGGGGCAACACCCACACAGCAGAAGGCAGTTCTTGGGGCGCAGTCGGCAGACACCAACCAGGGGGTGCGAGCATCAGCGGTGACCCCTGGGAGGGATCGTGCACACAAATCAAGAGGGTGTGGACTCAACACCATGAAGGAAGGGCACAGGTGTGACAACAGAAAGTACACAGGCGACCCTCACACGACAGGGAAGCCCCCGCAGCTTTCTCCAGCCATCTGTTCATTCATCTGCTTGGTCCAACCCGGATAGGGGGCTCGCATCCTGGGCAGAACGCCCTCTGAGGACAAGCCAGGCCTGACTGTGCCTGTGCAAGCACGCCTGTCACCTGCGAATTCTGGAGGGGAGCGGACGGAGAGCCGCTCGAGGCATGGGAGCAGGCATGCCAGGGGGCGGTAAAGGCCTCTGCATCCTCCCTCCCTTCAGCACTCAATGGGAGAAAAGCCTCGCAGGAGTATGAATGCACATGCGCGTGCACGTAACACAGCAGTCCCCACGATGGACGCTGGCCCGGGCCAGCTGGACCCTCCCCCAACTTGGAGGGGGGAGGCATGGGCCACGGTAGGCAAGACACAGCTGTGTGTGATCAGGCCTAAACTGGCAGTTGGACATCCCACAAGGGCTCTCACACAGGAGAGGGTACAGGTCAGGCTGAGGGACCCCGCCCCCTGCCCCCGTGCATGAATTTTGTGCACTGGGCCTCTAGTATATTATATAATCAATATAGCTAATATTTTAGAATAATCAGAATGATTAAGTTTTACATTCCTAAACAAATAGTTGCATAATTTTAAAATACAATAATTCAAATATTACACAAGATTAATTTGAATAGAAAGCCCTTTACACTAGTAAATAAAGTTTCACTGCAATAATGTATTCTACCCATAAAATAACATGCAACATTTTTCGACACATATCAAGGGATATTATCAACTAATGCTATTCACCTATTTCCAAATTATTTTCCTTGCCTGTTGTTTTGTCCAAATAAATCAGCTATCTAAGAGTAGGGTGTACATCTTTCTTTAAGTGATTCTGAATTCAAAGCTCTTATGAAATTGTGCAACTTGGATTATTTGTTTAAATTAGGCAGTGACCCTCTTGGTGGGCAGTTTAGTTTTGTAAAAAATAAAATATGTGGGATATAAAGCCAAAAGGAGCAAACAAAACAAAAAACAAACTCGTAGATGCAGACAACAGAATGTTGGTTACCAGAGGGGGAGGACAAAGAGGGTAAGGAGGCTTAAATAGATGGTGGTGGAAGGAGACAAGACTTTTGGTGATGAGCACACAGTAGAGTACACAAATGTCATATTATAAAGTTGTGCACCTGAAATTTATATAGTGTTATTAACCAATGTTACCTCAGTAAATTTAATAAAAAATAAATACCTG